GTTTAACAGATTCGAATTTTGGATTTCGATTTTGAAGAGTTCATTAGCCTCGGTGGTACTCGGACTCACGCATGGTCACCGCATACGCGTTGTCTGCGAAAGTTCTTCCAGCTGAGCTACGAGGCTCCACCGACAGCCTCGCTGTTATTATATTCAAATTTACCCATGCATCTACAGTTGTGAATTTCACAATAAAAACGAATTTTCGGGATGGTAATAAAAATTGGGTAGAAGTAATTCGATCTCTTATTCGATAATTTAAAACCAATCATTTGAATGATAAGTTGAATATTTTAGTTATCTCAAAATAAATACTATAACGATATCTGAGAAACAGAGGGCGTGTACAAAAAATGTATTCTTTGCTCGAATAATGTTGAGCTACACCTTTACACGCGGTTTTAATTATGCTACGGCACACGGTGTACTTGCAGATAAATATCGTTAGTCTCACGTGACACAGTTTTCGATAAAGGGGATATTCGCGATTCCTATGAGATGCCGTTATTGAGCAATGAACACTACCTCTTATAGCTGATCCTGTTTTCGCAAGGTTTGTGACGGATCTTTGTCTCCACGTGAAGTAGCTCTATACGGGCCGACATTATCACTAACCAATCAATTTGTTTGCTGTAAAACTGAAAGCTTCTACAAGTACAACACTGCTGCAGTTAACAAGAAGAAAGTACGGTCCTAGTATTTGACTGATAACGTACAAACCACTGAATTCGGGAAGACTTTCGGAATACTTTGCAAACATTAGTATTTCTTGACCTGGTGCAAATTTCCTTATTGGAGGATAGGTTTGCAAAGGTTATACAAGATAGAATATAAAATACACGGCAAGAGCGCTATAATCCTATGTATGTTGTTGAGGAGAATGTAATCCAAAAGCTGTTAAGCTGTTAAGCACTCGAAATGTTAGGCGGTACAGTAATTTACGTTTGATAAAATGGCTTCAGTCAAATGTAGCGGCGAAGGGTAAGCAAACCATTATTCAAGCAACGGATATATCTTTTGTTATGAAAAGCTACAATGGCTGTTTAATTATGAAGGAAATATTGTTTTGGAAATAAGCTCGACCATTTTATCTCGTTATTTTACTCCATTTCAACGGGTTGTGCGGCACGTGATCTGTTTGAACAAAACATGGGTGGTCGATCAACATAATAATGATTCAATGAACAGTTCATGGCAATAAATCCGATGTATCGTTGTACTCACCATTCTCGGCCATATATATTTAGCAAAGCACACAGGATGAGAAACGTTGTGGACCACATAGAACTGGTGGCAACATCTGAAATTGTGGTTGATTTAAACAAAAGCGAAGTGTGGTTGAGAAGGATGAATGGAAACATAAAGGCTGTCAATATTGACAAACTCCAACACAATCTGTATTCAAGAGTTATGCCTGACGCTCATAAAACAACGTTTGCACATCTTCAGGTGAGTTCGTAAGATATATTAGCATTGCTACATTTTCAAAAGGGACCACAATGCTAACTGATCAGTGGCACTGACCGAATTGATAGTGTATTCTGAAGTTTTCCTGACTGTTACTCTGTGTAGTTTCCCCATCATACACGATCAGGACGCCTTTTCCGGTAGATGTGAACGTATTGAGCTGTTCTTTACGACAAATGACTTTTGCTTCGGTCATGTCCTCATTACCAACCGTAACACATTGCGTTGCCGTTTCAGACTAAGATGGAAACATTAAAAATATCATTTGTTTTGGTTTGAAAATGTACTTGAAATATAATGTGAAAGCTACAGTAAATAACAGATAGGGGAAAAATACCGAAGCCAATTACTATCAACATGTTTGGTAGGAGACGTATTCAAATGAAGTTAGCTTTTGGAGTCCATTTATTCACCGAGATTTTAGGTAAACGTGGTGCTGAACATAATGAACCTATCTAATTTTGTAATAAGTTGATTGACTTTTAGAGCAATATTAGACAGGAGCAGTTATCTTGACCTCTCTCCGAATCGTAAGAATTCTTCCGATTCTCAGATATTACCTTGATTTTCCTAGCTGTCGCAAGCCTATACCAGATTTTACGTTTGTTTGCAATGCAGAACTGACAACGTCCGTCAGACTTGTACACTTAAAAACCAACCACGGAATTGTATCTTGAGATAGGAAGAGTACTTTTTTCTGTTNAGCAAACCACTCACTTCGATGACTGATAATTTTCAGACATGCGCCTGTGCACAATTTATGAGAACATAATTTCATGCGTGTTCCATCACACAGGTTTGTTCACGTGGGTTTCTTCATAAGGAGTTTGGCCTGTTCTTTCTCAATGGGTTGCTGTTTATTCTCAATGATAAAGAATAGTCGTTTTCGATAAAGGTACGTTCAAACTGTCAGCAATAATAAAGGCAACAACCGAAATGA